AATCTAAATTGACCGTTGAAAATCAGTTGACAATTCAAATTTAGAGACAAATACGATTAAAACCTGACGATTTTGTAAAAATATACTGCCGAAAATGTCCTACAAATTCAAAAATTCTTGCCAAAGATTTGTCTGTTGTCAATTAATAAAATTAGTTTTTTCGGCTATTTGTCCAGCTGACAGTTTGTACCAACAGCCCTTTTTTTTTTATTTAGCAAAGTTAGGTATACACAGCACTGTGCTGCTACCCTGTTCTATATGAGATATTACACAGTGTAGATCAAGAACTAGTTATAACCATCTCGCAGGATGGTTAGTCATACATGGAATCAGGGGAGAGAGAGAGGAGGTTATCTTGAGATGATTTCGGGGCTTTTAGTGTCCCCGCGGCCCGGTCCTCGACCAGGCCTCCACCCCCAGGAAGCAGCCAGCTGACTAACACCCAGGTACCTATTTTACTGCTAGGTAACAGGGGCATAGGGTGAAAGAAACTCTGCCCATTGTTTCTCGCCGGCGCCTGGGATCGAACCCAGGACCACAGGATCACAAGTCCAGCATGCTGTCCGCTCGGCCGACCGGCTCCCGGGGAGAATATACCAGCTTCAGTACAAAAACAAATCAACTCTGACTAAAAATCAAGTGAGAACATAAAATTAAGCCTGATCTATTAGTCTCCACGCAAGGGGCCTGGTAGCCTGGTGGATAGCGCGCAGGACTCGTAATTCTGTGGCGCGGGTTCGATTCCCGCACGAGGCAGAAACAAATGGGCAAAGTTTCTTTCACCCTGAATGCCCCTGTTACCTAGCAGTAAATAGGTACCTGGGAGTTAGTCAGCTGTCACGGGCTGCTTCCTGGGGGTGGAGGCCTGAGGCGCGGGGACACTAAAGCCCCGAAATCATCTCAAGATAACCTCAAGATAACCTCCACTAGCAAAATCAGGGTACAGCACGATAATATCTTCCAATATTCCTGAGTGTATGAAGTAATTACAGAGCTCAAAGTACCTCATACTATTATTTATTTATTTTATTTATTTATATACAAGAAGGTACATTGGGATTGTGAGGATACATAGCATAGTATTTACAATCTTGTAAAGCCACTAGTACGCGCAGCGTTTCGAGCAGAAACGGTCTGAAGCCACTTATAACAGGACAGAGATATAGTGTTGGAGAGTATGTCCCAGCTCTTGTTCACATAGTTTACAATTTGAATATTCACCATTGGGGGATTCATTACCTGCAGCCACCTGCCATAGATATCGATATCCCAGCCTAATGCTGACAATTACAATGTCACACTGTCTAGTGGAGGTGTTATGCTGCCTGTGCATATAATTCTCGGTTCTAAACATGTCATAGCTCTTTATACTCGTGCTTTCTGGCCTTTGTGTGCCAGTGATTGCTCTTCTGTCTTCCTTAATTTCCTGAAATATTGCGGCTTTTACAGCAGAGATTGG